TTGGAATAAGTACAGCCAGAATGTTCTTTAGAAGCGAAGATGAAGATATTTCATCTCTTGTACTTTGAACATGTTGTTAGTAGGGCAGAGTCCCAAAGAAAGGCATCAAGCTTGGTAAAGTGGAGGGTCAGTGAAAAAGAGGAAGACCCTTAACGAGATAGACTGACATAATGGCAGTGACAATGGGCTCAAACATGACAAACATTGTGAGGATGTTGCTGGATCAGTCTGTGATTTCTTCTGTTATGCATAGGATCACTATGGGTTGGAATGGACTTGGTGACATGTAAAAACGAGTTGGTTATGGAGATAATTTGGTTTTAAAACCTATGTGGGACAGCAACTTGCCAAAGACTCACACTCAAGAGAAATTTGAGGCTGAGCTGACACAATGAACTCGATCTCAATACTTATTACATCCCCCAGGGCTTGGAGAGACTGAGAAATAATATAAGGCACTAGTGGGAAACCAACAGGGACCAAAGTTTATCTCTAAAGTTTGGATTTTTACTTCAAAAACATAATATTTCAGAAAGCTTAGACCAATTTTCTTAACTGTATTTCTAAAGAATGATTTCAGAATGTTTATATCAATTGATATTGAGGCTGGAAATTCCAGACTATTTCTGGGACAGGTGATGATTTAACGTTATCATCTCAAAAGAACTCAGATCCTAGTGATGCTGAGGGAATTAAGCAAAGGGCAGTTAGAAGTAGAGCTATAACCTCACCCAAGTGATCTGTAAATGTGCTGAGATTGGTTTACTTCCCTCGTCACCCAGACTACGGGAGACTTCTATTCTCTCAGGATGCCAATAGGCAACTCAGGATGCTACGTAATTTCCAGGAATTTGTGTGTAAACATTCATCTCTACAATTCAAGAGAAAGTCAAGGTCCCATTCTGTTTCTTAAGAGGGTGTATTCTGTCACGGGTGAGAAAAGTTTTCACATGTAGATAAAGAAATATTTTCAACTGAATATTTGTTGAGGATATGAGCTATGTATTGTTTTGTTAACTTACAATACTATGTTTATCTGTAATCTATAATGATCAGAAAATATATTTACTCTACATCACTATTTTCTTTTATGTTGAAATATATTGGCAATCTAGGAAAGAATTGCTAAAATAAATCTCTGGTATAAATATAGGCAATCAAATTGGATTATTTAATAAAAATGCAAGAAACCAAGCAAACCAAAATTAGAAACAAAATGCCACCGGATTCTAGTGAATCCTGACTCAGAATGTAGAACTGACCCCATGGGGTTGCCAAGGCTACGCATCTTTATGGAAGTAACACTAGTATAGCTTTCTCCACTAAATGCTTGGTGGACTTGAACTATTGAGATTTTGGTTAGCAGCTGAGTGCTTTAAAAACTGTGCAAACAGGGCCCCTAATAAACCAATTCTGCTTTATAATTATCCCAGTGTTTCTATATATTGTTGTTATTAAGTGCCATCAAGTCTGTTCCAACCCATAGCGACCCCAGTATAGGATTTCCAAGGAGCAGCTGGTAAGCTTGAAATGCAGACCTTGCCATTCAAATGGCTTTGCAGTCTGGCACATTAACCCACAGTGCCATACCAGGAGTACATTTCTCTATATAAGGAGACTTAAAAGAGCTCACAGAAACATTGTTAATTCCCCTTATATCATACTATTTGATTGCCATATTAGTATTGTAAAATATAGATGCCACCTATTATCACAGCAAATCTATCAAAGTAGACCGTAAAAGAAAACAATTAAATGATTTCATTTCCAAGGTAGTGAGTGGCATATCATTGGCTAGTAGGTAAGTTCTGAGGTTCTACGGGAAAGAAAGGCTTTGCCTATGCCATGGCTTAAGAGTTGCTTCCAGTCTGTCTCATTTGATAACAAATGTTTGGTCAGTGTTTCCTAACCTTGGTTTCACACTGAAGGCACAGGACAGCTTAAAAATAATGTTTGTGATTACTATTGTGCTGAGTGAAATAAATAATCACAAACGGTGAATATTGTATAAGAACGTTGTAAAACCGTCATTAAAAACAGAATTTTCACACGAAGACACATACTTTGATGGTTACCAGGAGTGGAGGGTTGGGGAAGTGGGTCACAGGCTGGAGGGTAGATTGTGTTTAAAAAAAGAAAAAAAGAAAAGAAAAATAATACTATGAAAATTTGGTTTCAAAAATAAAAGATTAATGTTTAGACTACACACACATACACACACACATAAGATATGGGATGGTGTCAATAATGCTTCTTCACTGTAAATAAATACCTACACCTATTTGTAAGAAAAGGAGCTCTGGTAGCATAGTGGTTGCGAATCGGGCTGCGAACCGCAAGGTCAGAAGTTGGAAACTACCAGCTGCTCCCGTAAAGATTTACAGCCTCGGAAACCCTGTACAGGGTCGCTATGGGTCGGAATTGACTCGAAGGCACTTAACAACAACAACAATTTGTAAGGAAAAGACAAAGACCCTGGTAACTACCTGGAGCAGGCTCCATGCTGCTTGATTTTGTTCAGTTATAGAAACCATGCAGTAGCTCCTTGTTCTGTTCTAATGACTGGGCTTTGGTACAGCCTCCACTTGTGTAGAGTTAAGTGTTCTGGAATTCCCATTCTTCCCAATGGTACCCATAATTCATTGCCATCCATAGTCAAATTGGAATCCTGGTATGGCACTATAGGATAAAGCACCAGACTGCAAGGCCCCTTTGAACTGCAGCGTTGGTGGTTCAAACTCACCAGCCTCTCCTTGTAAACCCTATAAAGGGTCACCACACCTAGTGTGGTGCTGCAGGTTAATTCCTTGGAATGTAAAGTGGTTTTGAACCACAAGGTCAGCAGTTCAAGCTCACCAGCTGCTCCTTGGAAATAGAGGGCGCTCTGGTAGCCTAGTGATTCTGAATCGGGCTTCTAATCTCAAGGTCGGAAGTTCCAACCTACCAGCTGTTCCATGAGAGAAAGATGAGGCTTTCTGATCCCGTAAAGATTTACAGCCTTGGAAACCCTTTTCAGGGTCACTAAGAGTTGGAACTCCACGGTACTTAACAACAACAATGGATCAGAACAGATTCAATGGCACTTAACAACAATAACAACAAAGTCAAATTACTTGGATAGTCAATAAAACACAAATTAGTATGAGTTAATCCTCAACATAAAGAAAACAAAAGTTCTCACCAGTGTACCAAAAGATATCATCATGATCAATGGAGAAAAGATTGAAGTTTTCTAAGACTTCATTTTGCTAGAATTTACTTTCATTCACTGAAGCAGCAGTTAAAAAATCAAATGATGGATTGCATTAGGCAAATGTGTTGCACAAAGATCTCTTAAAGTGTTCAAGATCAAGGATGCCAGTTTGAGGACTAACGTGCTCCTGACCCAACCCCTGGTATTTTCAATAGCTTTATATGCATGTGAAAGTTTGACAATGAATAAAGAAGACCATGGAAGAACTGATGCATTTAAGTTATGGAGTTGTATTAAAAATGCCATGGACTGCCAGAAGAACAAACAAATCTCTGTCGAAAAAAGAACAGCCAGAATACTCCTCAGAAGCCAAGAAGGCGAGACATCATCTCGCATACGCTGGATATACTATCAGGTGGGACCAGTCACTGGAGAAGGACATCATGCTTGACAATTTAATGGTCAACGAAAAAGAGGACAACCCTCAATGACTTGGATTGGCACAGAGGCAGCAGCAGTCGGTTCAAGACTGACAACAGTTGTGAGGTTGTCACTATTCCGGGCAGTGTTCATGCTGCTGGTCATAGGGTCACTATGTGTCAGAACCAGCTCAATGGTATCTAACTACAACAACAAACATCTTTCTGTTATTTTCTGCTTTTGGTCAAGATCTATCTGACATCAGCAATGATATTTCTTTCCCATGCCCTTTTCTAAATCTGGAGGATTCGATTTCTGACAGTTTCCAGTTGCTAAACTGTTTGTACCAACTTGAATGCACCTAAATAACAACACATTGATAGACATATATTGTTGTTATTGTCTTTAAGTGCTGTTGAGTCTGTTAGAACTCACAACAACCCTTTATAGGGTTTCTGAGCAGCAGCTGGTAGGTTTGAATTGCTGACCTTGTGGTTCACAGTCCAGAGCTTACCCTACGGCACCACACCAGGAGTGCCTTCAAATTAGTTTCAACTCATAACAACCCTGTTTCAATAAAACAAAGCACTGTCCAGTCTTGCTTCATCCTTACAACTTTAGTGCCTACTTTGGCTGGTTTGTAGTGAATTTCCAGGCACAAAATCTTCCCAAGGATAGATTCTCCCAGTATTTCTAACAGCAGATTTCTGGTGATTCCAGTCAGAATGAACATTTTCACCATCCAATTATCTGTAGTTGAACCTTCTCACAAATTCTGGATCTCAAACGTGGTAATTGCAGCTGCTGCTGTGTGCTGACAAGCTGTTTTCTATTCTGACTCATAGCAACTCATAGAGGATTTTGGAGATTAGAATTCTTTATAGGAGCAGAAAGCCTCATCTTTCTACTGAACCATGGCAATGGTTCTCCTTTTCAGGTGCACTTCTCAGCCATAAGGGAAGCAGTTATTTCCTGTGTCTATTATTCCTATATCTGTGGATAATTCAATACTATTCCAATATTCAGTGACTATTTATTGAGATAGTCTTAAGATTTTTTGAGTGGATTCTCTCTCCTTATTGGCTTCTAAAGAAGGCAGAATAATACCAGGGACTGTACAAAAACTGACTTTACAGGTGGCATTTGGGTTTGGTTTGGGGATGCTTTGGTTTCAATGCAGTGCAGAGTTCTTCGCCTTGGTGAAACAGGATGCTAGTAATTCACGGCCTGCACCTACATCATTATCCATAAGCCCATCACCTGTGGTTGATGTGTCGACTGTACCAAACGTCTTGGGTCTACCCTTGACCATAATGGCAGCAGTGATAACTATGTTACTGAGCAAACTGTTGGCTCAGTTAAAATCAAAGCAAAGGGTTTTGTTAAAGGAATACAACCATTCATAAAGGGGAAACACAGAGCTTCAAATTGTAGCTAAATGCTCAGACATTTTCGAGAAAGGTGAGAATTTTAATCAGAATCATAGGGGAGGGCGTACTTGACTATAGTTGTGGAAGTTTGGGTTTACATGTGGCTAGAAAACAATTGCTGTTGTTGTTAAAATGCCTTCAAGTCAGTTCTGACTCAGTGACACTCAATAGCGCTTCCTCTAGTCCTGGTGTGGTGCTGTGGCTTAATGCATTGGAATGCAAGGTTGGTTTGAACTGCAAGGTCAGCAGTTCAAGATCACCAGCCGCTCCTCAGAAACCTCATTCAGGGTTGCTGAGTTGAAACTGACTTGATGGTATTTAGCAACAACAATAGGGCTTCCAAGGAGGGGTTGGTGAATTTGAACCACCAGCCTTGTGGTTCAAACCAACCTTGTAGTCCAGTGCTTTCTCCTACAGAGCACAACCAGGACTCCACTCTAAAACAGCAAGTTGACATTTTACAAGGTTAGCGGTTATTTACTAACATGGATTTCTTGGAGCCTTCTTAGTAAGCTCTGCATGGATTCTTCCTGAGACCTGCTGTACAAGTATTCTTCTGAAACTGTCTTGATAGACATTTACTGGCCAGCATTTCTTCACAAACCAGGTTCTTGTCCACTCTACTATTTGTTTAGAGTGGTTAAAGTTTCAAAGCTCTGAATCACAGGCTTTGTTCTTAAGAAGCAAAAAAGAGGACTTTGAACAAGCTTGATTTAACATTGGAGGTTTTGATTTAGGTCTAGGGCAGTCAACTTTAATCATGCCAAGCAACTCAGTTTTAGAGTGTCCTCACACAGGCATGAGTGACTAAATGACCCCTTGAGCGAAGGACTTACAATCCATTTTCTAATATGGTCTCCTAACGTTCGCAAGCATTTGCAAGGCCCTTTTCCCTCAACATTCCCTAAACAATCATTATTGCAATTTTCAGTTATTTCATGCTGAGAAAACAATTCCCCCCTTTTATCTAGTTTAGACTATGCCATTTCTTAAGCCCCTCTTCAGACACATTTGTAAAAATTGTTTACAAGCTGCTTCTCTCAAAGTTAAAGATAAGTACAAGTAAAGCCTAAAATGGAGTTTTAAAACAATGGAGACTGGCCTACACCTTGGATAAAAGCCTCTCTCATGCCAAGCATATAAATTTTAGGGCTATTTTACAATACAGGCAGTGTGTGGTAGATTCATTGGAGTGCACTTGGGTGTTTAAAAAAAATCTCAAAAAATGACAAACTCAGATTCTTTAAGAATGAACTTAATTCAACTTCTGAAAAACATAATTTCTATCACGGCCCCCAAATAATCTCTTATTAATTTTAACCACATCACTGATATATATATAAAAAAAAATCAAACATAAAATTTGATTATGTGGATGACTAACGTGGGAATACAGTTGAATTCACAGTCTTGGTTAGTTTCTACTGGGAAACAGTGTGGCTTGAGAAAGAAAGGGACCCTGAAATTTAGACAGCAAACGTGTTTGAACCTTGATGAAGTCGATTGTCTTTAATGCCCAAGTCATTCTGGTCTTTCTTGCCATTGGAAGTACCTTTTCTTTCAGTATCTGAGGAGACTAGCTTTACTTGAAAATCCTGTGAATAAGTCCCTTGTGGTAAATGACTTGATAAAGGAAGCTAGATGATAGCACTGTTAGCTAGTTGTTAGTTTGTCAGAGGAACTAGGAACAGGTCTTAAGATTGTTAGACAATGGAGGTTTGATGACAACACAAGAAATGGCTGGCTTCAAAGGCACGACAATACTTTCAAAGGAGTCTTGAGTCACTGCATTAGTTCATTAGCTTGAAGTGGCCCTCCCAGCTTACTAGAGTGGATCACTAAATCTTGGACTCCACAATGACCTACATTCAATGAGGATGAGATGCCAAAGCTTTCATGGTATAATGTAAAGGAGGGAATCCAATGACTTATGAAGACAGAAAGGTTGCATTAGGTTTACCATGAGCCACTTACATATCCACAATCTAACTTCATTCCAGAGAAAGCCCTGGATACATCCCTTCCTTAAGGTGATGAGAAATACAGTGATTAAAGTGATGTCTGTAATACTTCCCTTTTTATTCCAGGAATGGTTATAGAAGCAGTTTCTAAAGAGATGCGCTACCTTTTTTAATGGACTGGTGGCATATTGGATTATTGTTGTTAAGTGCTTTTGAGTGGGTTCCGACAAGTAGCAGCATTTAGCCACCAAAGAAAGATAAGACTCTCACATCTACTCTTAAGAACCATGGGGCATATTCAGAATGCTTTGGCTCACAGAGCTTTTTGATAGTGGCTATGAGTCTTTGTGTTAACCATCTGAAAAGAATCTGAGTTTATTTTAGTCGGGTGTTTTTTATGTGGGTGTGTATAACAGAGTCTGTGTTTGGTACAAAATTAAAAAAAAACATGTATATAGAATCAAATTTTTGAATGTCTTAGTTAGAATGTATATGTATATTAGTTTCTGTTTTAAAACATATTTTTAAATATGTTTTAATAGTTGACAGCTTGTATTAAAGTTTTGATTCAGCAGGAGCTTTTAGGTTTGGATATCAAACCAGGTAATGTCTAAGGTCTCTTTCAAATAATAATAATAATAAAAATCTACATTCTGTGATTTAAAAAAATTTAGAGTATCTGCTAGATTCAAGAGTTTTTTTTTTCTCAGTTTTTCCCTTGGTAGTCCTGCCTCTTTAGATTCCTGAGTCTGTCCTAATGGTACAAAAAGAAGCTTTTTACTGACAGTTCTTTTTTTACCATAACATCACTCCTCATCTGCGCTCTCTAAGTTGTTTCTTCCTAGACATAATATAAAATTTACAATCCTAACTCTGATGTTTTACTCTATATGATTTTCCTTTGATATCTGATGTGTCTCAAGTCTCTTTCTTTCAGGCCCTCCCTAAAGAATCACAATTATGGTGAGGCAGAGCATAAACACTAAGCAGATTCAATTATAACACATTGGATGCTATGGGAATATAGAGAAACAACACTTATCCAAAATGGGGGAACTTCCTGGAAGCCATGATGTTTAAGCCAAGCCTTGAAGGATGAGTTATGTTAAGGTGACAAGAAAAATGATATTCTAGGGAGAACATATAACATGTCAAAAACCTTAGTGATAGGAATTGTTGTTGTTAATGCCATTGAATCAGTTCCAACTCCTAGTGACCCTGTATAGGGTTTCAAAGGAGTGGCTGATGAGCTTGAACTGCTGATCCTGTGGTTCAAACCAACTTTGCAGTCCAGGGTATTCACTCACAGCGCCCTACCAGGACTTCTCAGTAGGCTTGATATAATCAGATCTAGTAAGCAGGGCAGTCACTAAGTCTTCAGGGAACATTTCTGGTAGGGAGGGGGATGTGCTAGCAGCCGCTTCCCCATAGTACTCAATTACCTAGATCCTCTTCCTTCACTAGGACCCCCCTCCCCCAATCTCTATGGAGTCCTGGTGTGGCACTGTGGGTTAATGTGCCAGTCTGCAAAGTCGTATGCATCACAAGGTCGGTGGTTCAAGTTCACCAGTCGCTCCTTGGAAACCCTATATAGGGTCACCATGGGTCAGCGTCAACTCGAATGCACTTAACAACAACAATGAGTCCTGGTGTGGCATTATAGAATAAGCACTGGACTGCTAACTGCAAGGCTGGTGGCTCAAACCCACCAGCCACTCCTTGGAAACCCTGTATTTGTTCACTGTGAGTCAGAACTGACTCGACAGCACTAGACAACAACAGTAACAGCTGAGCATGATGTTCCTAGGAATGCAATAGACAGACAACCTACCGGTGCATAGCTTGATCTATGTAATAAGAAAGATACTAGGTTTCGTGGCTGAAACTTTAGTTGCGTTGCTTTGTTACAGGACCACAAGCTCTCAACCAGTTTCCACACTAAGTTAATTCAGACCCAGAGTCCATTGTTTGAAGGGTAGATAATGTTGCCTAAAGGAAGGTCTTTGCATCATTGTTTCAAGTACATATCATGCATTTTCTACCAAGTCTCCTTTAAAAGGACCTATAATCAATTGCTAAAATGATTGCAAATTGCGGTCACAGGAAATACTAAGACTTTTGGAGCTCCAAATTGCTATGAGTTTCATCTTGTTCAGACCAGTCTGATGAAAAGAGAAGGGGTAAGATTCTTATGATTCAAGAGTGAGTAATTCTTATCATGACTAATTGTGACTATCACAACTGCAAAGGTAGAAGTTTTGTAACAAAAATGGGGGCGTAGTTAATCTTACAGTCCAGAAACAGAGGACCCTAGGACCATCAAGGGAGAAGAGCACAAGTGGAATGCGAGACCTTATCCAGAGAAGCAGTGACACCAGAGATGGAGGCAGAGATGGGAACATGGAAAGAAAGAGAAGCTGAGGACTCTAGATTCAAGGAAAGAGAGAGACTGGGTGATGGTGGCCAGGAGGCAGGCTTGCAGAATGTGCCTTTGGGTTGTTTAAATTATTATATATTCTTTAGTGTTTTTGTGTACATCTCTCTACCCACCACCTCCTCCAAAAAAAAGAAAGAAAAACAGAGAGAATAGAAGCAAATACTGTTGAATGATGATGCACAGAGGAGATTGTAATCATTGCAATGAAATGATGGTGTAAAACCGATGTTCTCCCATGTAAACTACCACTCAGTTTACAATTAAAACAAAAAAAAATTGCTATGAATGCCTGGGGCCCAGAATGCCACTATGGCTCATCAATCAAACCGGAGTTTGTACTATCTAGGTGCTTGTTGTTGTTAATTGCTATCAGGTTGCTTCTGACGCACAGTGACCCTGTATAGGCTTTCTGAGGAGTGGCTGGTGAGTTTGAACCACTGGCTTGCAGTTCAAACTGACCTTGAGGTTGAGTGCTAGGATTATTGTATTCTTGCATTCTCTTGAATGAGCAAATATAAAAGTGCAAATTTGTGTCACGCTAACAAATAATGATTTGTGATAGGACCTCTGGATTAGCGTTTATAACTATCAACCTAACAGAGGATACATATTGATTAATAAAAGAAATAATTTACAATGAGACAGCAAAGGGGTTAGGACAGAGTATATAACATGGGGAACAAATAGAAAACAGTGCCTCAACACTAACAATGTGTTACATCCTAAATGAGCTGAATTTTCTAATTTCAGGGGAAAGATTTTTAAACAGGGCAAAATATGAACTCAATGTATATAGTGCCTTAAGAGATAGACTTAGAAGTAAATATAAGGACACAGAAAACATGAAAGAAAAAAAATAAGAATTTACCTAACTACTTACAGTATTTCAAACCTTTGGTAGGTAAAGGCCATACTATACCCTTTGTTGGTTTTCCCCCAGTATATATAAAATGAAAATTTCTTCTACATATTTTGGTAAAGTGGATGGTTAGAGAAACAAAGGAATACCCCCCAAAGAGATGAATTGGTACAGTGACAGCAACAATGGGCTCAGGCATAATGATGATTGTTAGGTTGGCATGGGACCAGGCTGTGTGTCCTTCTGTTCTGCATAGGGTCACTGTGAGTCATTACTGACTTGATGGCACCTAACAACAGCAATTCCATCACTATGTTATCTCATTTAAGACCAAAAATCTAATAACAGCTTTATCATGCATGCCCATCCCCAAATGCTCAGCCAGTGTTGTCAACAATGCCATGTTATACAGTAAATTGTTACAGGGTTACTCATGGCCCAGCTTGGAAAGAGTTCAGCATAGACAACATGAGCTACTAAATCAATTGCTTCTGAGACCAACTTAGGTGATCCCATGTGTTCCAGAGAGGAATGATCCATAGGGTTTTATTGGCTGTAATCGTTATGGAAAGATCACTTGGAGAAGAGTCAAACAAATCTAAAGTTTGGATGAACTCTGAGTTTATTTCTAATGAAAGAAAGGGCATCCTTAGGAAAGGAACATCAAAAGTCTGAAATCTCTGTCTCTAGCTTACATGACATGGAATTAAATACTCTTTGCTGTTTCTGCTCTTTATAGGGTACAGATTTGGTATTAATTATGTTCCTTTGTTAAATGCATGCTTATCAGAAATTTAACGTATTATCAATGATTGTGAGAATGGTGCAGGATGGTGTAGGACCTGGCGGTGCTTCCTTCTGCTGGATATCGGGTTGTTAGTACAAACTCAGTCATATCTAACAACAGCACCTAGGCTCCTTAGTTTGAATGCAATACAACAGAGAGCTTTCGTCAACTGATGCTCGTGTCATCCTTTGATTCTGTATGATCACTGTCAATAAAGTGAATTAAGTTGTGTACGCCACAGGATTTCAAAATCATTGGAAGAACAGAGCTTTAGATTCTCAACCTAAAATATTTATGTCTTAAAACATTAATGACTACAAAACAGAAACAGAGACTCATTTGTAAATGCGTAATATTTCAGTATAATCAAATGCTGTAGAAAGCAATAATTTTATCTTAGTTTCAAGCATTTCTTTTGGGGTTAGAAATAATGACTCAGTTATCTGATTTAGTAATTTCCAGCATACTCATACTGTCCTTTCATATCAGAAAACACTGCTCTACTGATAAAATTACTAATAGTTCTAAATTCCAAAATTCTGAATGTAAATGCCCTGCCTATATTCAAACTTGTGAGGCTAATTAGAAGCTACAGAGTTCAGATAGTCATCATCTAAAGTACCCCGGGTCTAAATCAAAGTAAAAAAAAACTTGGGAAAAATTGTGAAAATCACGTAAAAGGCATTTTTATAAATGCTACATTATTGTGCAATTTCAAAGCAATGCAGCAGATATACAGGCACTCCTTGTGAGGCACTATAAGGTAATCAGTGGAATGGCTAAACAGAAGATTGGTGGTGAAACCCATCAGCCACTCCTAGGAAACACTATACAAGTTCACTATGAGTCAAAATTGACTCGATGGAACTTAATGATAACAACAAGAAAACAAAAGAATTTAAAAAACACTTTATTTCAGCAAAATTATTTCCTTTACTAGATAATCATTTTTTAGGTGGCACTTCTACATTTAATATAGATTTGTCCGAAGTTTGAGACTGTTTCTGGTCATTGAGAATGGTTTATCCTTAATGCTTCTGCATTTACACCTGAAAATAAAGGCATTAAATAGATGCCAACACTTATGACCCTAGACTTTAAAATAACAGAAACTTTAAAAGTATGAACAAAAAATTTATTCTTAAGTGGTATAAAATAAAGGCCTACTTTTATAGGATTTTGTCATTGTCAGAGAGTTTAAAAAAGACAAAATCCGATTACATATGAAATTTTATGGTCTAGCTTTAGCTTTTAACATGCTATTATAAATATTTCATTTACTGATCTTTGTATTTGTGCTCCAAACATGTTCATTGACGTTCTGGTGTGGTGCTATAGGATAAATGAGACCGAAGGAGGTGGTTCAAACCTACAAGTTGTTTCTTGGAGAAACAACTTGAGGGCATTTATAACCACTACACCACCTAATAAGTTATGAATTTGATGCAATACACTTTTCCCATTCACTTCTCATTTTCAAAGACATATGGGTTTTGGTTATCAGATGATTCCACACAACAACAGCTACAAAAAAAATTCATTTTAGTCTTTCAAAAGAGGTCATTGGTTGAGTAAAGTTCAAGAGACTAGCAGTTAGATATTATATTATAAGCAGAGAAGTGTTTAAAACATAAAAAAAGTTTACAACGTATTAGAATGTTAAAAAGAGATTACATTATGGATCTATCAGACAATCCAGGCTTTTAAGAAATGTTTACACGCATACCCACATACATGTCTACATATAAGAACATCTACTTGTTGTTGTTGTTAGGTGCCATCGAGTCAGCATCGACTCATAGCGACCCTATGCACAGCAGAATGAAAAAATGTCCGATCCTGGACCAACCTCACTACTGTTGAGTCCATCAATTCTGCCACCTGGCCAATCCATCTCGTTGGGGTTCTTTTTCTCTGACCCTCCATCTTACCAAGCATGATATCCTTCTCCAGCGACTGTTCTCTCCTGACAACATGTCCAAAGTATGAGAGATGAAGTTTGGCCATCTTGCCTTCTAAGGAGCACCCTGGCTGCACTTCTTCCAAAACACATTTATTGGTTCTTTTGACAGTCCATGGCACTTTTAGTATTCTCCTCCAACACCATAATTCAAAGGCATCAATTCTTCTATGGTCTCCCTTATTCACTGTCCAGCTTTGGCATCCATATAAGGTTATTGAAAATACCATGGCTTGGGTCAGGCACACCTTAGTCCTCAAGCTGACATCTTTGCCCTTCAGTACTTTAAAAAAAGATCTTGTGCAGCAGATTTGCCTAATGCAATACGTCGTTTGATCTCTTGACTGCTGCTTCCGCGAATGTTGATAGTTGATCCAAGAAGAATGAAGTCCTTGACAACTTTAATCTTTTCTCCGTTGATAAGAATGTTGTTTGTTGGTCCAGTGGTGAGGATTTTTGTTTTCTTGACATTGAGATGTAATCCATACCTAAAGTTGTGTTCTTTCATCTTCATCAGTAACTATTTTATGTCCTCTTCACTTTCAGCAAGCAAGGTTGTATCATCTGCATATCACAGGTTGTTAATGAGTCTTCCTCCAATCCTGTTGCCACATTTTCCTTCATCTAACCCAGCTTCTTGGATGATTTGCTCAGCATACAGGTTGAATAAGTATGATGAAAAAAATACAACCTTGTCGCACACTTTCTTCATTTTAAAACATTCAGTGTTCCCATGATCTGTTACAATAATTGCCTTTTGGTCCATGTACAGATTCCTCATGTACACAATTCCAGAATGCTTATACTTCTCAATGTTGTCCATTACTTTCATGATCCTCATAATCAAAAGCCTTTTCATAGTCAATAAAGCACAGGTTAATATCTTTCTGGTAGTCTCTGTTTTCAGCCAAGATTCATCAGACATCAGCAGTGATACCCCTTGTTTCACGACCTCTTCTGAATCTGGCTTGAACCTCTGGAAGTTCTCTGTCAATGTATGCTTGCAGCCATTTCTGTATTACATTGAGTAAATCTACTCACATGGGATGTCATATTTGACATATATTTATTGTCCAGTGATTTCGACATTCCATTGGGTCACCTCTCTTTGGAATGGGCAGATAGTTGCCTTCCAAA